TATTTGAGTGTATAAATATCAATGAAACTGTACTTATATCGAAATGAAACTATAGTTGTGTTGAATTGAAATTGCAGTGTATACAAAATAAAATTGAATAACAGAGTTATTTTTTGCCGAACGGTGCAAAACGGGTACTGTTTCTTTTCATTAAACAAAACGACGTCGTTTTGAAGCTCAATGTATAATCGATTATGTACCGCAGTGCACGATATAATTTGCCACCATTTGTTTTGAAGGTCTAGATTTGAACTATTGGGGTCATGGGCCAATTGGGCTAGGTGTTATTAAGGTCTCAAGGAATAAGTAGGCAAATTATATTCTGCACTGGTCAAAACGACGTCGTTTTCTGTTTCTGTCGTTAATTTCTATATATAAAAAAAAAAAAAAAAAAAAAAACCTATTCTGAATGTACAGAATTTTATAGTAAAATACACATAAATTTCTAATATAATACATAATACACATGAACTCTTGACACAATACACATGAACTCTTAACACAATACACATAAACTCTTAACACAATACACATAAACACAAGTGTTTAAAAAAAAAAAACATATAATGAAATTGGACGGACGGAACGGTGTCCGTCGCATCAACTCTCCACATAACTTATAAAAACAATATCATTTTAGGTCAGGATGCACAATGCATTGTGCGCTCTGGTGCACGATATAGCGATTGGAATAAGTAACAAAATAAGGTGAAGGGGGAATTGGGCTTAGAAGTATGGAAGTAGGCCCATACGAGAGGGATGGAAGATAGTTGGGCTTGAAGGAAGGAGGGGTTTTGGACTCATGGTGGAGGGGTCCAATTATTACTGTGTAGACCACGCTTAAAAAACACATAACATTCATTATTTTAATTTATAAAATATCCTTTAAAAAAAACTTATAAGATACATTATTTTTACACATATAAAGTATATTATTCTAACACATAAAGAACATTATTCTAATACATAAAGTACATTATTTTAATACATAAAATACATTATCTTATTACAGAGTGTTCATTATTCTAACGCGTGCTGAGCAACAAATAATAATAATAATAATAATAATAATAATAATAATAATAATAATAAAACAACGGGTTAAAGTAGCTATGAGATTTGAACACTTGATGTCATCATGCTTGTAAATATTTATTTTTGACATATTAACGTAATATATTGATAATAAAAATAATTAATTTTAAATATTTATAAAATAATATATGAGTTAGAATATAAGTATGTAGTGATGATCTCAACGTCACATAAGTCAAGTTAACGATAATATTAATACCGTTAATTATTAATTTATTATCTTGAATTATACTACTTTTTAAAATACATAGACTAAATTAAACAAAATAAAAATATAAAAACTAAATTGAATAACACTATAATATAGAGACGTTGTACGTACTTTTAACCCAAAACAACGCCGCACCAGACGTATAAATTTGAAGATAAAATGTACCTGACGATGAAAATTTGATAAAGGGTGAGGCAAGTCATGTACCAAAGGTCCGACCGTCCGAGTGCAAGAGAGGGAGAGAGACAAACAGAAAGAAAGTAGGGAGAGATGAATTCAACAAATACGGAGTAGATTACAAAAATTTAAAAATATATTTTTTGTCAAAATGAACAGTTTTTTAATGAATTTTTTTTTTGGAGAAAAAAAAAAGGTACACTCAAGGTTAGTATTTGACCCTTATACTAATATATTGCTTGCAAGAAAATCAAGACCGTCCTCTCTAAAGAACCTTTGCGTGTTGGCGGTAGCGTACTCGTAAATGTGTTCCTCTTTATTATCGTCAAAAGCCATGCTAGAAATAAGATCCGCCAATTTATTTTGTTCCCTTGGAATATGCCTGAACTTTACTTCCCAGTTCAATGTATTGGTTGCTATGCAAAGTTAAACTAAATTCCTTCCTAGACCTTCGTATTCGTCGTTCCTGCTTATCGGGTTGATAGCTTTGGTGTTGTCGGCTTCAACTATAACTTTATTGAAACCCTGATTTCTTACTTGCTTAAGGCCATTATAAATGCCCCAAAGCTATGCTTCCAGCGGTCCGCACGATCCCAGCCTTTTGGAGAACGTCATTAAGAAATCGACTTTCTTGTCCCTAATGACACCTCCACACGTTGCTCTATTGTGTCTTGTGCTGCCATTGCCGTCCGTATTCACCTTAACCCATCCAAATCATATCCAAGATCTTCAAATAAATCCTAAATCTTGATAAATAATACTATGTAATAATTCTTTAAGACGTTGCTAATTATTTATTTAACTAGTATTTTATATGCACGATACACAAAAATATATACCAAATAATAATACTCAATGTTTAAACCTTATATATATATATATATATATATATATATATATATATATTAAAATTCATTCTTCCAAAAGGTTGAACCCCAACCCTAAGAGCCATCCACACTCCGATCCGACAGAGCATTTTAGGAGTATATGGTAGAATTCATATTAATATTATTGAGGTAAGAATTATAGAAATGATAAATTATTGACTATAACTATGGTAATATTTAATTAAAATTCATCATTGAATGAGGTAAGAAAAAATATTGTGTATGCATATGTATAATAATAATAATAATGCGAAAAAATAACAGAAGTTATAATAGTAGGATTATATTTTTTAAAAAAAAACTAGTATTTTCACCCGTGCGATGCACGAAATGGAATTGTTATAATATATTAAGAATATTTAAATCGATAAAGAGTTAATTTCACCAGAGATCGCTTATCTTTCCTGACAATTCCAAATTTAATCCTAGACTATAGTTATTAATTATTACGATTTGTTCTATGTTATAATTCTTACGTTAATATTTTTACTATTATTATTAACACTTAATTACTTTTAGATATTATTTTTACCACTTATATTAATATTATATTATGATTATTAGTTTCTTTTCAAGTTTTGTTAGTATATAATGGTCGTGAGCCACACAATAATAATATAACCATAATTAAATATTCTTGTATTGTATTCCGTGAGTCACAATAATAATATAACAATAATTAAATATTCTTCAATTCTAATATTCTTCTAAGATTTGGATTAACATCATTAATTATTCCATAATTTATCATAATTAAATAATTTGACCAATTATAAAGAGAATTATTAAATAAAGCACGGGACAATTTTTTAATTACAAAATTTAAAAATTCATTAATAAAATATAAGGTTCTCATAGTTTTTTCTTAGAAACTATTTAATAAATCATTTTTTTAAAAATTGGTGAGCAAAACCGCCTACAGCAGTTTGCGGTGTATAGATCTCGAAAAATTACGCAATTTCAAAAAAACATTTGTCCAAAACGGAAAATCGAGTCAAAAGTTATGCCTTGCCGAACTTTTGACACTTCACAACTTTAACCCAGAATTATTGTACGAATGGGAAAGTAGAAATCAATGTATTTTATTGGGAAGAGAGATTTTGTAGGAATTGGGCGGGAAGTTAAAATTTCAGGATTTTGTTTTTATATATAGTATAGATTAGATGTGCAGAGGGAATTGTATTACACTATTTTATAATTTTAGAATAAAATTTTTACCCAGAATTATTGTACGAATGAGAAAGTAGAAATCAATATATTTTATTGGGAAGAGAGATTTTTTAGGAATTGGGCGGGAAGTTAAAATTTCAGGATTTTGTTTTTATATATAGTATAGATTAGATGTGCAGAGGGAATTGTATTACACTATTTTATAATTTTAGAATATAATTTTTACCCAGAATTATTGTACGAATGAGAAAGTAGAAATCAATATATTTTATTGGGAAGAGAGATTTTTTAGGAATTGGGCGGGAAGTTAAAATTTCAGGATTTTGTTTTTATATATAGTATAGATTAGATGCACAGAGAGAATTGTATTACACTATTTTATAATTTTAGAATAGAATTTTACCCAGAATTATTGTACGAATTTGAAATTAGAAATAAATATATTTTGTTTGGAAGAGAGATTTTTTAGGAATTGGGCGTGAAGTTAAAATTTCAGGATTTTGTTTTTATATATAGTATAGATTAGATGTGCAGAGAGAATTGTATTACACTATTTCATAATTTTAGAATAGAATTTTTACACAGAATTATTGTATATTGATGAGAAAGTAGAAATCAATATATTTTATTGGGAAGAGAGATTTTTTAGGAATTGGGCGGGAAGTTAAAATTTCAGGATTTTGTTTTTATATATAGTATAGTATATGAACAGATACTACAATGTAATAGAGCTAGTAGCATTCAAAAAAAAAAAGATGTGCAGAGGGAATTGTATTACACTATTTTATAATTTTAGAATAGAATTTTACCCAGAATTATTGTACGAATGAGAAAGTAAAAATCAATATATTTTATTGGGAAGAGAGATTTTTTAGGAATTGGGCGGGAAGTTAAAATTTAAGGATTTTGTTTTTATATATAGTATAGATTAGATTAGATGTGCAGAGGGAATTGTATTACACTATTTTATAATTTTAGAATAGAATATAATAATGCGAAAAAATAACAGAAGTTATAATAGTAGGATTATATTTTAAAAAAAAAATTATGTAGTACAACTTTTATAACATAATAATAATAAAAAAAATAGAAAAAACAGACATAAATTAGGGATATAATATGGATTGAAAAGATATTACATTTGTTTAATCTTAAAAACATTTTTTTTTTTGAAAGCCAAGTTATTGGCATATTTTAATTAATGAGAGGAATCAAACAGTCAGGCGGGACATAGTCCCAATACATAGAGTGTTCCTGATCGAAAGCTAGCGTAGCTAAAGTATGAGCACTAACATTAACTAGTCTAGAGATAATATTTAAAGAGCAATACGTAAAAAGGGCCATAGTTGCCCGACATTAGTCCTCCACCACTTCTTCATAAGATAGAATGGTCGTAGGACTAGATAGTAAGTGATGTCGTAGTTATGTTTTAATCTTAAAACATATTTTATCATGTATAGTTTATTTCACAGACTAAACTTTAGTTTACGGAATTAACCCTGCACTCGTGCAGGCTACAGCGACCGTTCCGGCGGCTACTGGAACCACTTCCACCGTGAGCGATGTGCTGATGGCATTCCGTCACTGTACTACTCGTACTTTTCCACGGCGGCACTGGCGGCGCCATCTCTCCTCGGTTTCTTCCACCTCTCACTCATCAAAAGTTCCCCTTCTCTGGAAGTCCGACGGCATTGACTCCCAACAACTCGTGACTGTTCAGCTATTATCATGGGGCCGCGGCGCCTCCGGCCAACTAGGTGGCGGCATCGAAGAAATCCGGATATGCCCCGCCCCGGTGGCATCCCTATCACTTCCCCCCTCTTTCCGGTTATCTTCGTCGATTCCCGGCCGTCTTCCTTCCGCGCAACCGATTCCGCCTTCTCCGCAAAATGCGGCGGAAATTCCGGTGGAAGTAGGTATTTCTTGCGGCCTATTCCATTCGTCGTTGCTTGTTGATGGGAATCTCTGGATATGGGGCAAAGGAGACGGGGGCCGACTCGGATTTGGCCACGAGAATCCAGTCTTTGTTCCCACTCTGAACCCTCTACTGGGCTCCCTCCGAAGCATGGCACTTGGCGGCCTGCATTCCGTTGCCCTAAACGTTCTTGGTCAGGTCTTCACTTGGTCTGTTCTAACTCCAACGTTATTCTGTTTTTTTTTTTTTTTTTCAAGAAGGTTATCAATTTTTAGTTACAAGTTTTGATCTTTCGTTTGCCATGTTTTCAGGGGTTACGGCGGGTTCGGGGCTCTTGGACATTCTGTGTATACCAGAGAGCTGGTCCCTAGATTAGTTGAGGGCTCTTGGGATGGAGAGATAAGTCACATTGCAACAAGTGGAACACACACAGCTGCTATCACGAAATCTGGTCAGGAGCTTGATTATTAGCTGGTATTACATTTTTACCAATCTAGTGAAGGAAACACTAGAATTACTCGAATGAAATAGAGAAAGAACTAATCTTTGATGTCGTGCATGCCATGTAATGTGGACTACGTTGATTTTCCCCCCATCTAAAAGAAGTTGATCTCCTAGACTTCATGGAGAGAATGAACAATTGGTACTTGGGAATTTTTTGGGAGTGTTTGCATAAAAGTTTTTTAGTATTGTCCCAAAATTTTAACTTTTGTGGGAATAAGTGTGCAAGTGGAATTAAGAAGCTTTTGCAGCATTAGTTGTTTCTCATCAGTGTAATTGTGAGTGATACTTGATATACACATATTCTCTTAGTTGTGTTATAGTTGCATACTATCGTATGCGTGTCTTTCTTTTTAAGCTCATGCAGTTTTGCTGATTAAAAATATAACTTTATCTGGTTGTCCTACATTTTCATTTGAAATAGTTTTCAATATTTTGTACTTATTGAAAATAATAAATTTTTTGAATAGTTTGATATATGGAACAGATATTAGAAGCCCATTTCTTTGATATTTATTTCCTTGACTAGATTTTGATTTTTTACTCAAACTAAGTAGGTGAACTCTATACTTGGGGTCGAGATGAAGGGGATGGACGACTAGGCTTTGGTCCTCGACGAGGGCCAAATGAAGCTGGTGGTCTTAGCATCCCTTCAAAAGTGGAAGCACTTCCTGTCAGAGTAGCTGCTGTTTCGTGTGGTGGATTCTTCACAATGGCACTGACAGAAGATGGTGAACTCTGGAACTGGGGAGGTAAAATACAGCTTGTGAGTTTTGTTGCTCTTCTAATTGCAGTGCTTTAAGAGGAAGTCAGCTGTAAGATAGGAAGTCTTCGTGTATTGGCTTAGTAATTTCCTATTTAACAGGAAGGCCTACATATAAATAATAGAAGTTTCATATAAAAGCAACCCCTCTAAAGAAATGGAAGATAATGGCATTTTTACATCATAGGATTTCCTTATTAGCATTTCTTGCTCTCAATTGAATGAGAATGTATATATCCCATTTAGTGCTTTAGTAAGTTAACTGCATATGGCCCTGTTTGGTAAATGGCTGTTAGCTGATTGTGTTAATTAGAGGGTATAACATTAGCTGTTGTAGAAAAGTGTTTGGTAAATTAGCTGTTAGCTGATAGCTGTTTGGTATAATTTCTTTTTTGAAAAAGCTAATTGAAAAAGTTGCTTGGAGTAGCTTTTTGAATTTTACCATTTTGGAATTGCAAAAAGCTAATTAACCAAACACTTATATTGATATTTTAACTAAATCAAACAATTAATAGTGGTCAAATAAGTCAAAATTGGCCTATAGGCCAATTTTTTACCAAACAGGGCCATATTGTTTTTTTAATTGATGAAACTCGCAAGTTAACTTTAGAGCAATTAACGTGTGCTTTTTGCAGCTAACTCCAACTATGAGCTTGGAAGAGGGGACAAAGGTAGCGGTTGGAAACCACAACCAAATCATAGTCTTAAAGATGTCCGTATAGTTCAAATAGCTAGTGGCGGATACCATTCTCTTGCTTTGACTGGTATGATGAATTGAATGTTTTCTTAGTCTACTGGCAAGGTTTTTGTGTCTGTATGTTCCCATGTTTGTTTGTTGTTTAGTAAAGAATTACTCCGTATATAATTTTATATATTCTATCTATCGGTGGCATTCTCTTTCAGATAAGGGTGAAGTCTTTTCATGGGGTCATGGTGGCCACGGTCAGTTGGGTCATTCTTCAATTCAAAACCAGAAAGTTCCTGTCAGGATTGAGGCTTTGGCTAATGAGAGGGTAACCTTTATAACTTGTGGCGGTTCTTCATCGGCAGCTGTAACAGGTAATGCAAGATACAATATATTTAAGGACATCTACTTATCCACCATATATACGTATATATGTGTGTTTGTCTGCACGCCACAAAGCAACTGCATTTATACAAGAAGATATTGGTGCCAATACAGATGACTGAAGGTACTAGAGGAGAAGGATAAAACACATTTCAGTGTACATTGCTCATGATATCCCTCCCCCCTGCGACATTGCTACTTTCAGACAGCCCTCATACACATGAAAAAATAAAGAGAAGTATTGGCTACCCGTTGTGTGCTATTAATTAAAAAAAAAAGTCAAATTTTATGTTTAATAACATAAAAAATTGCCAATGACCTTGTGGTCTAGTGGCTGGCTCTCCCACATTGGAGGTCATGGGTTCGAGCCTCAATAGGGGCAATATTGACTCTTTGTGCTTCAGTAGGTTGAGAAAGTAGTTATGAACAGATACTGCATTGTAACAGAGTCAATAGTACTCAAAAAAAAAAAAAAAACATAAAAACATTCGAAAGGGGTGTAAGATTGTCTAAAGAATATATTTTTGTTTTGGCAGAGAATGGGAGACTGTTCATGTGGGGTAATGCAAAAGATTGTCAGCTAGGGGTTCCTGGCCTGCCAGAGATACAATCATCTCCCGTTGAAGTTAAGTTTCTCATGGAGGATGATGGACTGGAGAGCCATCATGTTCTTTCAGTAGCTATGGGCGCTTCTCATGCCATGTGTCTGGTTTCTAGGTCAGGTTGTTAGAAGGTAATGATAATAGCCGTTACAGTCTCCTTATGATGTAATGAATAGGCAAAACGTTACCATATCTAGAAGCTTTTTATCTTTTCCCTTCAAGTTACATTTCGCTAGAGTTCCTCTCCAATTACTCTCAAGAAGGTCTCTCATTATGTCATTTTATGTTTAATAGGTTAGGTATCAATTTTCGTTTGCAATCCTCTGCTGATCATGCCAGAATCTCAACCCGATCATCAGTTCATCTGAAGGCCATTGTAAGTTTTTGTCATCATCATCATTATTTCATTACTTTTAGCCCAACTGAAAGACGTCTATATATTTGTGTATGGATATGCACCGGTATAGGCTTAAATTAGCTGTATAGTCGAGCTTTTGTGAAACTTCTGCTTTTCATTTCTGTACAGCTGACTTGGTTTTGCGGGCTTCTGAGAAGCCTTACCATTTTGAACCCTTAGACGGATTTTATATCGAGTGCGGACTAATCTTAGCTTGCATAGGTAAATATATTCCTAATAATATTACGTTTGATGGTTAAACAGGAACATTGCATTCTGGGATGAAAGTTGTCAATGACTTCAAAATGCTGTTGCATGTTCAGTGAGGATTGTGATGTTACATTCTGAATGTCATATTTGGATATGGATAATTACTATCTCATGCCTCAATTTTATTTTATTGATTTTTTTTTTGTACTTTGGGACTATTCTCATTTCATAGTTTTTTTTCTTCCCTTGCTTGCCTTACACTGCAACAGTTAAGTGAGATGCTGTAAAGCTAAATTGCCAATAAAATTTTGCCTTTGAAGGCATCTTTTATAATATAAATTATAATGATATAATGAGTAATTATTATAATATTTATTTTAATTGATTTTCAAGTTAAACATTTAATATCTATACTTGTGAATATTACGGAGTAATTCTTATACTCATACAACTTGAAATAATGTGGGCAATGGATGGATTTTATATTTTATTTTTAAAATTAAATTGAGGGGATCAACCTAAATCAAAAATAAAAAAATCCATCCGTTGCCCATATTATTCAGTCAGCGAACCAACTTGCTCACATTCTTGTTAAAGCAATTAATTTTCATGTTGGTTCTTGCTCATGGGAGAGTGAACCTTGACTTTTATTCATGCTTTCTTGAGTAAATGCAGCTGTTTTTGGTGTTTGCTTACGAAAAAGAAAAATCCATTTCTCGTGCTTAATACTTTTCTATTGTGATAAACACTCGAAACATTACGCAAAAGGATCTATCGAAGCAGCATTGGAGGACTTTCAATCCATTGCAGGTTTACATGATATATGTTAGGACTAATAATTAGATGTCACATTGATTATAGGGTTGATGCAGTTCATAATGTTAGTTTATTGGGGTTTGTCCAATAAAAGTCTATGTTTTTGTGGTGAAATTATATACTTTCACAACGAATTATAAATATAGATAATTGTTGTTAATGGTAGTGTCTTTACTAATTGTATTGCATAAATGTGGTAAATTATACTGATTGATCACTGATAGATATTTATTTTTAGTATAATTCATTTGTAATGTACTAATCATTCATTTTTAAATAGTATACTAAAAAGAAATTTTTACTATAATACAAATAAACTTATATGTTAGTGATTCACCTTACAATGTATTAATTTGTAATTAGTACAAGTTTATATTTTGGATCATGCTAAGGGATCAAATTTTTCACTAAAACTTTTTACCATATGATGTAGAAATATATAATTTATATGAGATTAGTTAATTCATGTGACTAATGATTAATGAATAAAAAGAATTATATTGACACATCAAATGATGAAAATCTTAGTGTTTCTTGTATTTTTAAAGTTAATTTTAATTTTAATAATAGAAAAAAACATTGGAGATGTTTGGTAAATAGCTATTAGCTGGCTGAGTTAGTGAGTTTGACTAATTGATAACAAGCTGATTGTAGAAAAATATTTGGTAAATTAGCTGTTAGCTGATTACATACAAAATGAATTTCTAAAAAAAAATAAATCAAATAACTGCTTTGAGCAACTTTTTGAATTCTAGTGTTTTGGAGCAATAAACTATACTGTTACAAAAAGTTAATTAATCAAACACTCTTATTGATTATTTAACTAAGTTAAATAAATCAAAATTGACTGATAGACTAACTTTTTACCAATCAGGGTCATTATCTTAATATATGTGTATTAATAATTGAACCATGTTGGCATTAGATGCTTAATTACGTACGCTACGGACCACTTTACAATATTTCGTATAATTGTGCCAAATAAAAATAGAAAGCGAAGGACAAATTGAGAGAGAAATTTCTAAATGTGGGCTGAACTGAAATTCATAAAAACTACAAAGGCGAATCGTTAAATTGCTAAACTTGCTCTGGACTTAAAGAGGCTTCACTTCACTTCACTTTAATTAATAATTAAGAAAGAAGAAAGGGAAAATGGTTTATTAACGACGCGGGGGAGGAGGATTAAGCAAGCAAGCTTGAACACTCAACGACAACGAAGAACGTCGACATTGGCGGGTCGGGTTGCATGCGATTCGGGCTTGAGATCTGATTTGATCGACTGGTGCCAAATCTATCGACCGACAGTGGGGATTACATAGAGTGTGAGAGTAGAGTCAGAAGCACTGGAGACGGTACAGGAGACTGCGCAGCCGTTGAAGCCGCCGGGAAACGGTCAGATCCGATATCGATCGCCATCGGCCGCTGAGCTCTTGGAGGCACAACACCCAGCGCCGCCGCCGCCGGCTCCGGCCGATCAAATGGAGAAGCAACTTAAGCGCAACCGCGGCCAGCACGACTCCGTGTCCGACGTGATCCAGAGGTACCGGGGAGTCCTCCTAATCATCTCTGTGCCTCTGCTGCTCATTTCGTTCGTCCTCTTCGTCATGCCCGCCCGATACCCGGCTGATTCCATGGAGTCGCTGAATCGTAAATTCTCTCCCGACTTCGGATCTAAGAGGTACGCCGTCATCTTCGACGCCGGAAGCTCAGGCAGTAGGGTCCACGTCTTCTGTTTCGATAAGAACCTCGATCTGGTTCAAATAGGCAATGAACTCGAACTTTTTGTGCAGGTAACTAAACCACGTCACTGTGCTTTCTCAATGTCATTATGTGAAGTTCATGCATGGAGGACATTGTATAATCTACCACAGTTTTGTACTAGTCTTCTGTTTGTATTCTCTGACTCTCTGTCTATTTGATTTCTGTACTATAGTTAAAACCAGGTTTGAGTGCTTACCCAAAGGAGCCTAAGGCTGCTGCAAATTCTCTTGCATCACTTCTTGAGAAGGCAGAGGGTGTAGTTCCTGCTGAAATGCGCCCCTACACCCCAGTCAAAGTTGGGGTTAGTAACTATAATCAATCCTACTGCTTCGTAAAGAGGCATTATCTTGTATAAATATGTGATCTTGTACCCTGCATTGTTCCCTAATGCTGTCCATGGATGCATTACACAGGCCACTGCAGGTTTGAGGCAATTGGAAGGTGATGCACCTGATAAGATCCTGCAAGCGGTAAACTTGATTAATTTCTTTTGCATTCCAAATTATATCCTATTTTCCTTAGTGAGCATGTCTTGTTTTACATTTATGACTTTCTTTCTTACTTGGAATTTATTGATGGTTAAACAATTATATACTAAATTATATTAAATACTATTGTTGAAGGTGAGGGATTTTCTGAAGAAGAAAAGCAACTTCAACTCAAGATCTGATTGGGTTACTGTTTTGGATGGAAATCAGGAAGGTGCTTACCAGTGGGTATGTTAATATGGCTTTGCTGCCTTGTTTACATGCTTTTGTGCACTTCAACTGAGCTAGAAATTTAGCTATCTTGCTGATTGGCTTTAAATCTTTACTTTGATTACCAAAATTGGGATAGAGTATGTGTTCCATTTATAAAAGATGAGTAATATGAGAATCTTGGCTATTTTTCTGGAGAGATTCCAATTTCTAATGAGCTTGAAATTCACAGCTATAGAACCGTGTAGCCTTATTCGAATGTTCCTTTTGATCAAATGATTGGTTTTCTTGGAGGTCACAACCATGAAATAAAAGTAAATTTGAGATATGATCTGAATTTTACTGAAAACATATTAGGTGCTAGAATAGCTGATAAAATTCTCCATTACTGGCGCCTTTCTGCAATTTCTGTTAAATTCAGAATTCTAGGAAAATTTTGTTTTTGGGAATGTATTGAAGTTTAAGTTATGATTTAATTAATTTTGTTTAAGTTTAGAGTGTCTTGGTGGCGAACATTTAGTTTAAATGTTGGAGATTATTATTCTCAAGTTAGGGATTGAATGTTTGTAAACAGTATTATCATATTATCATATTACTTTGAATTTCTGAGTTGAAATATTACAGTCCAGAAACTGCTTCTAACAGTCAATCTTGTTTGGTTGAGTCATCAGCTCATTAGCTAGTCAAATGCTTCTGCTTTGGTATAGCTTGTCCAATCACAAGATGAAGTTTTATAATTTTCTTTTGCATGTTTTCCATCTGTGCAGGTGACCATCAATTATCTATTAGGAAAGTTGGGTAAAGAGTACTCTGACACTGTTGGAGTAGTTGATCTGGGAGGTGGATCTGTACAAATGGCTTATGCTATCTCAGAGTCAGATGCTCAAAAGGCGCCAAAGGCATCAAAAGGAGAGGATAGATATGTGCAGGATATGTATCTCAAGGGGAGAAAATATCACCTTTATGTCCACAGGTCTGTCTCTTGCCCTTTCATGAATTCATGTATTTGTTCTTTAATGGATAACTCTGTATTATGAGAATTTCAGAGTAACCAATGAAAGTGGTTTGAGCTTTACATTCCACTCAAAGAATATAGTTTGCTAGTTGTCCAGGTCTATTATGCTTTCTTTATTTAAGTCATCCTCATCTTCTATTGACAAATATATGATCTCTATCTCTTTTTGTACAGCTATTTGCACTATGGTTTGCTTGCAGCTCGAGCTGAGATTTTGAAGGTCACTGGAAAATCTGGCAATCCTTGCATCTTGGCAGGACATCAAGGTAGTCACTATTTGCATGTGGACCTGCAATTATTTTTGTTTTTGCATGTCAAGTTTCAAACATATTACACTTGTTGCTATTACAATGCTGGTTGGTATTTTTGTGAGTAGTCCCGCCCCTCGGGGAACACATTTTAAAATGCACATTGTACCACCAAAGTTGATGGAAGTGCCACTAGAAAATGTTGTTACAAAATAGTCTCATTGTTAATGGCTTCTAGTAAGTGCAACAGTGGAGTGAGCTATTGTCTACATTCCACTTTTCTTACTCACCTTCTGTCACTTTTGTCTGCCTTCTACTTTTCTCATGTAGAGGAAATGAAGAATGTTTTAGGTATATCTTATTCTGTTTTAAATTTTAATTAAATGGGATATTGAGGATAGTTGTATGTTCTTTTCAAGGGTCTTATAAATATGGAGGAGCAGCTTATCCAGTGTCACCTTCGCCTTATGGTTCAAGCATGACGAGTTGTAGGGAGGTGGTTATTAAGGCTCTCAAAGTCAATGGATCAGCCTGCACTCACATGAAATGCACATTTGGAGGGGTGTGGAATGGTGGTGGAGGCAATGGTCAAAAGAATCTATTTGTTGCTTCATTTTTCTTTGACAGAGCTTCTGAGGTACAAAATCTTCCTGGATTTGTTTGATTCTGGAATTTTCTTGTTTTAGCAACTTCCCCTGTTCCTGAGTTGGTCAAATTTGCCCGGGTGCGTTTTAGATAATGCTGACTGCATTATGTTCAAACAAAGGTTGGAATCGTTGCTGATCCAAATGCGGCTGTTGCAAAAGTTCGCCCAGTTGATTTTGAAAGTGCAGCTTCAAGTGCTTGTTCAACCGGGCTCGAGGATGCCAAATCCAAATTTCCTCGTATTGATCCAAATAACTTGCCATACTTGTGTATGGATCTTACTTACGAGTTCAGTTTGCTGGTTGATGGCTTCGGTAAGTGATGCTATGTTGAGTTTCCAGCAAACCCATAAAACTATCTTATCATTCAGAGAGATTAACTGTTCTTCTTAAATTGTTTACTTGCACGCATGTTGAACAGGCATAGGTCCTCAACAATACATCACATTGGTAAAGAAAGTCAAATACCAAAACTCCCTTGTCGAAGCGGCTTGGCCACTGGGCAGCGCCATTGAAGCAGTTTCGTAAGTGCACAAGGCCTTAACTATTACACTCCGAGTTGCAGTCTACTACCGGCCAGTTATGCTATGAAGTGCTGATATATTATCTTTCCAGTTCCCACCATCAGCGCGTCTGTGAAGAGAAATTTTGGATGTTTTGTTATTGGGTGGGTCGATAAGAATAATGAGAAATCTTTGTTGTGATTCTGATTTATAATTGATGAAGTAATATATTTAGCAGTATTCATTCTTGTAAAGGCTACTGGACTCTACCATTCTGAAACTTATGCTATACAGAGGCTTGATTTTTTGGTTCAATATCTGATGATATGCCTGTGTCATTAACATCTCAACTAACAGTATGTGTCTGTCAATACTAAATGATTCGTTTCGTTGGAGATGGAAAACGTGCATACTTACTGGAATTTTTTCATCTGTGGCATGTTCTACTGGAATTTTTTCATCTGTGGCATGTTCTAAAGTAAACACAAATGTCTTTATCCACAAATCATACAAAACGTAAACTGCACTAGAAAGAGTATGTAATAACTTTGATCAAGATAATATTGGTAATAATTTAATTTGTGCGTCACTTTTATAATTTTATTGTTTGGTAAATAGGAATAAAATTATTGAGAATTGGAAAAGAAAAATTAATTAATATAAAGACTAAAATGCATTTAGGTAATAATAATAATAGTAAAGTTGTCATTTGCCGTGAAATTTCATTTCCATAGATTGGAATTTCAATTTTTAGAGGTTAGGAATTATAATTTCATAGTTTAAGAAAATTATAATTTTTAATCAAACAATAAAATTGTAAATTTTATGTACCAATTGGCTTGTAAATAGTTGTAATGTGGTAGTTATTGTGATCTAGTGGTATCAAATTGTTTTTTTATATAAGAGATTGTGGGTTTAAGCTTCAGAAATAGTATTAACTTTTTATATTTCAATAGATTGGAAAAGTAATATTCAAAAAAAGTTGTAATGGAGTAAATCCTATTTATTCATTTACTAGTATTTGCGCCCGTGCGTTGCACGGAATGAATTTGTTATAAAATTTTAAAAATATTTATATCGATATACAATTGTATAAATTATAAAATCGAATATTATATAATATAATTGAAGAATTGAGTTGCACCGATTATGTTTTCTGATGTTATCAATGCTTGAATTCGAATAAATAATTGCCCAATTAATAGCTAACGTGTAGATATACGCATTCGGTGTTGTAACTTTAGAGATTTTATATATCAGTGTCTATAATTTGTATTAATTGGGCTAATTAGATCGTTGTCTAGCAACTCAGTTATATAAATTATTTATACGGAAGATATATTTTCTATGTAGATCAGCTATATAGCAATTTTGTCATTTTTGTATATAAAAAAAAAAACATAATATCAATGGCATAAATTATACATTATTGAAAATCTCTTTATAGCTAGACGACATTGGTAGTAGTAACGGAATTTTATCCATCATCGTCTAAAGTTAAAACTATCAGACTATCAGGATGGGTGACTCGGAAAAAAGTAACATACAATTAACCGTGATTAAAGACTGATTTTTTGTAGTAATAACTCAAATATTATATAGTGCAATTAAAGATATGGTTTCGCCCGTGAATTTGTTGTAATATATTAAGAATATCTGGATTGATATATAATTATTTAAATTAGAACATTAAATATTATATAGTGCAATTGAAGATATAGTTTGGATCGTTTATATGTTTTGATGTTATCGTTGCTTGAATTTAAACAAATAATTGTTCAAATTAATAGCTAATGTGTAGATATACGCATGCAGTGTTGTAACTTTGAAGCTTTTATTTATCATTGTTTAGTATTTTTATAAATTAGGCAAACGTGCTCATTCTTTAGCAACTCAGTTATAGGAATGAATTGCTATCCTAATTCATTTGTATGAAAAATATTTTATTTTTTTTTTCTAAATTGCTTTAAAAATTTTTATTTTTTGTGTGCGTAGATATATAGCAATTTTGTCATTAAAAAAAACATAATATCACCAATTGTATTTACACATTATTAAAACCTCATATTGTAGACGACATTTGTAGTAGCAACATAATCTTGTCCGTCATCGTCTATAGCTAACATCTTCAGTCCATTATAATGGGTGACTCGGGTGAAAATATATCATCGTAAAATATCAGTCAATTAGTAATATCATATTCATTTTCAACCAATTATTCTTTTTATTTTCCGTCAATTAATCAATTAGAATATCATATGCAATGGTATTTTTACCTAATTTTAGTTTTATTTTTAATTGGTGATGTAGAATATTATTATTGAAATATTTTTGTTCCATTTTTAATTTACCTTTACTATTGTTTAAAATATACCTTTACTATTGATGATGTAGAATATTATTATTGAAATATTATCTTTTCATTTTTAATTTACTTTTACTTGATGATGTAGAATATTATTATTGAAATATTTTCGTTCTATTTTTAATTTCCGTTCTTTTGTTTTAAATTTTGAAAGATTTATTGTGATATAATTGGTTCACATATTTCAATTATTTATTTTTTCTTTAATTATTATAAACAGAAACGATATTGTACTAATTAATTTATGATATTTATCAAATTGTATTTTTTAAAAATATAAGATTTACACATGTTATGAGGGGTTAAAAAAATATTTTAAAATGATTTTTTATTAGTATGAATTTTTATTTTAAAATATTTTATAGCAATCCAAACACTCCATTAGCCTCCCATAAAAAACTGATAAAAGAAAAGCCATTTCATTAAGGAAATTAAAATTAATTAAAGTAAATCAAATCATGCTATATTTATTTGTAACTGTATATTAATTTCATTTTGAAATCATTGGTTCACATATATGATTTTTTTTTAATTATTATAATTTATAAACAGAAATAATATTCTACTAATTAATTTATAATATTTATCAAATTGTAATTTTAAAAAATATAAGATTTACACATGTTATTGGGGGAAGGGGAGGGGGGTAAAAAATATTTTAATTTTTTTTTATTAGTAAGTATTCAAAAAATAATAATAATTTCCAGCAACTCAAACACTCCCTTAGTCTCCCACAAAAAACTGATAAAAGAAAAGTCATATCATTAAGGGAATTAAAACTAATTAAAGTAAATCTAATCATGCTATATTTATTTGTAACTGTATATTAGTTTCATTTTGAAATCATTGGTTCATATATTTGAAATTATTTATTTTTTTATTTAATTGTTATAAATATAAATGATATTGTACTAATTAATTTATGATATTTATGAAATTGTATTTTTTTAAATGTAGTGTTTTACCCGTGTGTTGCTTGGAATTTTTTTTTTGTTTTTTTGTTTTTGTTTTTATGAATTTAAAATTAAAATAAAAAATAAAAAAATATTAAAATGTACAATATAATAATATAGTTGGACTTTTATATATTTGGTCAAGTATCTATTTTCATAACATACAAAATTTAAATTTAAATTTTGTATGGTTAATATAATCTCTAATCATGTACATATTTAGATAAATTTATAGAAAAAAATCATATAATTAAGTTTATTTATTCCAAATTGTATTATATATATATATATATATATATATATATATTAATTCTAACAATATGAATAATAATAACTAAGAGAATTGTACTTAGAAATCAATAAAAATGTAAATTCTTAACTTTGTAGGAAGAAATATAAACTCTAATCTAACGCATATCCTTATATGATTGTATAATACATTGTATATACACATAATATTTATTAATATGTATATAGGAAAATTATAATATAATTTCATTAATTTTAATTTATATTGATAGATTTATACTTAAAAAATTATATTTAGAAATTTAAAAAGTGTATGTATGTATATTTTAAAAAAAATTATAAATATTCATGTTTTGTTAATTTTATAATTTTATTTCTTTAATTATATTTCATATTTTATTAATTATAATTTAATGAAATTGTCACAAATATTTCTACGGAAGAAATCTTATATTTCTCAAATTTCTTAATTATATTATTTATAATTAACAAATATTGTGGCAATTACAATAATAATTTCATTAATTATATTAATTATAACATTTTTTGACTTCTAATATTTAAATACATTACCATAATAATTACACAAAAGAATGAAAGAAAAATTATTAGAATAATTACCTTTAATAAATTAGGAAATTATATTAAAAATAATCTATATATATTAAGGTAAGTATATTTATTTTGTTCCCAATAATATTATACATTAAGTATAAAAATATATATGTATATAAATTACCATAATAATTACCCCGAAAAAGGTGACAACACATAATTATTAGGCAATAATATTAATAATTAATTATTAAGGCAAGCATAATTGATTTTGTACTAATAATATTATACATCTATACACTTTTAATTCTATATTGATAAGCATAATCTGTGTATATACTTTAAGAAAATATTCATTATTAAAAAGGGAATATAATTTAAAAAGTAAATTATTAATTAGATTACCTAATATAATTGTCCTACTAATTAATTCCATGCTACTATGTATAATAATTCATATATTTATTCATTATGAGTAATATTCATTTCCTTTTTCACTCATAGAAAGAGTTAATATTCATTTCAATTTCTTTTTCCTTCATAAATTTTTCCTAATATTTCATGTGTGGTGGTTACTAATTTTTTCGTAGGCGGTGTTATATTTTCAATAAATTTTTAATATTAAATCTTTTTTTCATTTGGCCTGATTCTTGTGTCTATTAGTAACAAAATAGAGTTTAATACCCAAAATCGTCCTCGACTATAGTGGTTTTTCTCAATTTCGTCCTAAACGACTTTGGTGACCTAATATCGTCCCAGACTTTTGTGTTTCACTCAATTTAGTCCTCCATTTGTTATTCCGTCAAATTGGTGTTAAATAAAGGGACAATTCAGTATGTCAATATTGATCTCTCTTTACTTTCAACTTATGAAGTGCGAAATTCCTCTTTCTTGTACGAATTACACCCAGAATTACTCCCGGACCTGCAAATCAAATTTTATATTCGCAGTTTTAGGAGTAATTCTGGGAGTAATTCGTAAAAAAAAAGGACTTCGCAGTTCACATGTCTATGAGTAAAGAGATGCCAATATTAAAATTACTGAATTGTCTATTTATTTAACACCAAATGGACAGAATAACAAATGAAGGACTAAATTGAGCAAAAACACAAAAGTCTGGGACTAAATTGAGCGAAACACAAAAGTCTGGGACGATATTAGGTCACCAAAGTCGTTTAGGACGAAATTGAGAAAA